ACTTTTTTTCCAGCACTTTACTCTGAGGTAGTATCTGTTTTGTCATTGAGGTGTGTTTCTTGTATTTGGTAAAATGCTGGCTCCTGATTATGTATCCAGTCTGTTAGTCTGTGTCTTTTTATTGGGGATTTGAGTTCATTGATGTTGAGAGATATTAAAGACAGATGATTTAGTTCCTGTTATTTTTGTTGTTGGAGGTAGTATTATGTGTGTGTGATTCTATTCTTTTGGGTTTGTTGTGAGATATTTAATTTTCTTGTGTTTTCTTGGGTGTAGTTACCCTCCTTGTGTTGGAGTTTTCTTTCCAGTATCTTTTGTAGGGCTGGATTAGTAGAAAGATATTGTTTAAATTTGGTTTCGTCATGGAATATCTTGGTTCCTCCATCTATGGTGATTGAGAGTTTTGCTGGACAAAGAACCTAGGCTGGCATTTGTGTAATCTTAGGGTCTGGCTGACATCTGTCCAGGATCTTCTGGCTTTTAGAGTCTCTGTTGAAAAGTCTAGTATAATTCTACTAGGTCTGCCTTTATATGTTACTTGGCCTTTTTCCATTATAGCTTTTAATATTCTTTCTTTGTTCTGTTCATTTAATGTTTTGATTATTATGTGATAGGAAGATTTTTTTTTCTGTTCCAATCAATTTGGTGTTTTGTAGGCTTCTTGTACATTTATGGCCATTTCTTTCTTTATATTAGGGAAGTTTTCTTCTATGATTTTGTTGAAGATGTTTTCTGGCCCTTAGAACTGGGAATCTTGACTCTCTTTTATTCCTATTATCCTTAGATTTTATCTTTTTATTGTGTCCTAAACTTCCTGAATTATTTGGGCTAAGAGCTTTTTACACTTTGTATTTTCTTTGACCAATGTGTTGATATCTTCTATGGTTTCTTTAACCCCTGAGAGTCTCTCTTATATCTCTTGTATTATGTTGGTGATGCTTGCATCTATAGCTCCTGATCTCTTTCCTAAGTTGCCCATCTCCAGAGTTGCCTCCATTTGTGTTTTATTTCCATTTTTAGGTCTTGGACTGCTCTTTTCAATTCCTTCATTTCCATGATTGTATCTTTTGTGTATTTCCTTAAGGGGTTTATTTGTTTCCTCTATAAGGGCTTCTACCTGTTTGCTTGTGTTTTCCTGTATTTATTTAAAGGAGTTATTTATGCCCTCCCTAAGGTCCTCTATAATCTTCATGAGATAGGATTTTAGATCAGAATCTTGCTTTTCTTGTATGTTAAGGTATCCAGGGCTTGCTGTGGTGGGAGAACTGGGTGCTGATGGTGCCAACTTGCATTGGCTTCTGTTGCTTATATTCTTATTCTTGCCTCTTGCCATCTTGTTATCTCTGGTGTTAACTGGCCTGGATGTCTCTGACTGGAGCTGGCATCCTTGGAGGCAGGAAGAGCTATGTGTCATGGGTTAGAGCCAGCTTTCTGCGAGGCAGGCCACTCTATCTCTGGTTGACAGGGGTGCCTCCTGAGTTCCTATGTTCCTCCTATGTTCCTGGTTAGGGCAGACCTCCTATGTTCCTGGTTAGGCAGGCTTTGGGTTACAGGGGAAGGATCTGCTCCAGTTACAGATGGAGATACAGACCAGAGGGACTCTGGTTATTGCATACTTCTCTGGTTATGGCAAACATCCAAAGTGGCCTGCCAGTGAGGCCCAGGTGGAGGAACAAACTGAAAGACAGATGGAGCTGTGGGGAGGGGGTTAGGTTCCAAGTCAGTTGGGCTCTTTGGGTGTCCCAGATGGGATTGATATTTGGGTGGGGGTCTCCCCTGTGCCCCTGGTTAAAGCAGACCTCCTGGGAGACAAGCAGGCTATGTGGTGTGGGAGGGTAATGGGCCTTCTGATTAATCCTGGCCTTAACTTGGATTTTAAATTAAAACCTAAGCACACAGGTCCATATGGATAAATGAATCTTCTGATGTTAAACATAGCTTAGGTTAACATATTTCTCAAGAAGCAGCCGCTGAAACAGAGAGGAGTCAGCCTCTGTCAGAGAGGGCCATATGTAGAGATAAAACATCAAATTCCTATCCACAGACATGTTTTATTCAGCCTCCACACTGTAGTCTAACACATCTGATGAATAAGCACAAAGAATGGTGTGTATATATACATATATATACACACATTTGTATATATATGTGTGTGTGTATGTGTATTTAGTATACAAAGTAATGGATCTCTCTCTCTCTCTCTCTCTCTCTCTCTCTCTCTCTCTCTGTGTGTGTGTGTGTGTGTGTGTGTGTGTGTGTGTGTGTGTGTATATATATATATATATATATATATGTATGTATATATCCATTACTTTGTATACTACCTTAATATGTTTTAATCAACTAAAAAATCCAGTGATGTGATTTTAGTATTGGGGAAGTCAAAAGGGGGGACAGGTTAGGAGTTCAAGTTTGTGTTCACCCACAGATAGATTTCAAAGCTAAGGGTAGCCTGGATATTCAAAATCAATCAATCAATCAATCAATCAATCAATCAATCAATCAATCAAGAGATTCCACAGAGTTGGAGTGCTCTTGAAAAATTTATAAGAATGACTGATAGGAAGGCTTCTTTCTTCCTTCCTTCCTTCCTTCCTTCCTTCCTTCCTTCTGTTTAAAGATTTATTTATTATATATACACCATTGTGCCTGCATGTACACCTGCAGGCCAGAAGAGGGCACCAGATCTTATTATAGATGGTTATACACCACCATGTGGTTGCTGGGAATTGAACTCAGGACCTCTGGAAGAGCAGACAGTGTTCTAAACCTCTGAGCCATCTCTCCAGTCCAGAAAGTTCATTTCTAACCCCTAGGAAAGAGGTTTTCAACCTACAGGTCCTGACCCTGTTAGGGTCAAATGACCTTTTTCACAGGAGTCCCCTGAGAAATCTATATTTACATTTCAATTTAACATAGCTATTTACATTATGATTTATAACAGTACCAAAATTACAGTTATAAAGTAGCAAGAAAAATAATATTATGGTTGGGGGTCACCACAATGTGAGGAACTGTATAAAAGGGTCACAGCATTAGGAAGGTCGAGAACCTCTGCTCTAGGAGATGCATAGCACTCACCTCCTTTTAATGCTTACAGTGATGCTGGTGGTGTTTCCATACTGGCCTTGTTTGCATTCCCTGCCTGCCACTTTTCAACACAGGCTTGGGGCTTCTGATGCAGAGGACACTTACTTGTGTGTACACACAACTTAGAGTGAAAATACCTGTATATTCATGCCTCCGTTGTCACTAAAATAATCTTCACTTGTATTATTAGCTGATGACAGGCTACTAGCCAATGTGTGTCTCATTATGTGACAGCTGAATACAGCTGCATCAATGCATGGCAAGCCTGCCTAATCTTGGTCTCTGGATGAGGGAGAAAAGAAAGTATTGTCACTAAAGCTGCCTCTTGGATTTAGAGTTTCAGATATCATCTCAATTAAACCTAACAATAAGGCCAGAAATTAGGGACTTATAGGAAAAGAAGGCAAAAGTTGAGAAAAACAAACAAACAAACAAACGAACAAACAATTTAGTTGATGCTAGGCAGCTACACATAACAGGCCCACCATACAGAGATCAGTATTAGTGACTTAAACATCCATGTGCTATCAATTTCTCATTTCCTAGGAGAAATACGCTCTCTACAAAATGAAAAGAATGTTATTAGTCATTAGCCTCTCAGAGGTATGCACTAAATTAATGATCCATTTTTATAATATTTGCAATTCTAGGGGGGAACAGTGGCCCACATCACAATATTTCAAGCTTTAAAATACAGATAACTTTTAAGTAGAACCTTGTTATTATTTTCTCAGCAAGTAGTATTGTTTCTTGTTCAGCAGCAGACATATCAGAGACTCAAATTAATGTGACCCAACCACAGACATAGTTTTCTCTTCATATAATTGTCTGGAAATAAATATTCCTGAGCTGTTATGGTGGCTTAGTGTGGGCAGGTCCCAGGCTCTTATCAAACTCCACCACCCTATCATGACAGCTCTATCCATCGTACAAGACAGCCTCCCCGCAATGTCTATATACCAGGCACAAGATGGAGGTAGGGAAAGAGGCTTCCTTTTCAAGAATATAATCTCACACATTATTTTCACTTGCATCTCACTAACAAGCTTATTAAAACATGGAGAATGACTCTATTAGCTAAGGTGGCATGTGAAAAATTAAAGTTGTATCATAGAAGAAGGAGGAAGAACCAAAAGTATGAGGGAACTAACCATTAGATGCATTCTATAACCCTAACAAAGATGGGACCACCAATTCATCAATGTGAATGCATATTTTCTTATCTTATGATTACTGTTTGCCATGCCTTCCAGTTTCATTAGATTGCCAAGGTCCAGAGACTTTTTAAAAGATCATTGATTCTTATACTTGCCCCAGAGATAAAGCTTCTAGTATGTAGAAGAGTTCCTCAAAGCTATCGCTCCACAAATAGTGTTCTTGCAATGTGTATCTAAGTAGTAAATAGCTAAGTGTTAATTCTAAGAATCTGAGACTTGGATGTTGCCTGCACACAATTAGGAATTTCATGAGAACATAACCGATCTCAGAATCTCCCTGAAAAGTAACCGTTTACATTGAAAAAACAAATCTTTGAGCAATGTCTGCCGCACAGTTGGGAGATTTGATACTCTTAGATTTGATACTCTGGAAAATTCTCTTTATGATGAAATGTCAATAAAAGCGACAAATGATAAAAAGCGATGGATGAGTGTTCCTGTGAAATTTAAATCTTCCCATTTAGTCACAAATATATTATTGCTTGCATTTGAAGTGTCACCCAGTGTCTAGGATTCAAAAAAATAAATGGTTCATTCAATTTAGAAAGTATCACTGCAAACAGCTTGTGTCAAACACTGTAACAAATGATAGGGCTATGTCAGTGAGCAGAGAGAGTGTTTTATAGCCTCATGCAGTTTACAGCTTGCAGAATTTTGAGTCTCCACCGTAAAGCATGGCACCCATGATCTTACCTTAAAGTGTCTCAAAACAAGTTGGATGAGTTGCCAATCTTCTCTTTCTTCTCTCCTCAGAAGATGGCTCCAACAAACCTACATGATATTGATATGTTCATTCGAATTACTTTATCTAAAAATGCCAAAATTGATAAGTAAGCTAAAACATTTTTAGTTTATTTTAAATTTTATGCAAACAAATATTGTTATCATTACAACATAAGTAGTTTTCATACTAAAAATTATCTGTTTGTCTACAACTGAAATTCAAATAGATATTGTAGATGTTGTTGTTTTTGAGTTAAGAAGTCAACTGCAGGGGCTAGAAAGATGGCTCAGTGGTTAAAAGCACTGATTGCTCTTCCAGAGGTCATGAGTTCAATTCCCAGCAACCACATGATGGCTCACAACCATCTGTAATAGGATCCAATGTCCTCTTCTGGTGTCTGAAGACAGTTACAGTGTACTCATCATACACATAAAATAAATAAATAAAATCTTAAAAAAAAGAATGTCAACTGCAATATCTATGTGAGTGTACATATACATATGTTTCTAGGTAATATAAGTCATGTTTTAAGTAAGCTTACTTCTTAAAAAAACTATGGTGATCAGTAAATAAACTAGTATTTTAAGTGATTAAACATAATGATTAGTGATTAAAATTAATAAGCCAATTAAGCGCTAAGGCAACTACTCAAAATGTGGATGTCCAGTTAAAATGGTTGAGTCCTAAAGCCATCATGATGAACCTCCTCTGAATCCACTGACAGTTCAAAAGAATAAACAAGTAACTAGGAATATTTCAGGACATGTCTTACAAAAGTGAGATGACAAAAAAGTCATAGGATTAAAAAAAGAAAAAGTAGAAAACGAAACAGAAAATATTCCTTGTTTGTTTTGTTTTGAAACATGGTCTCACTATGAAGTCCTACCATACCTGGAGTTCACATAGTAGAACAGGCTGGCCTCAAACTCACAGAGATCCTCCTGCCATTGCCTCCCAAATTCTGGGACTAAATATGTGTCACTATGTGTGGCCTATATTCTTTATTTTACTCTAATAAAAATAATACCTTTCATGCAGTTAAATTGAGAGCAAAGCTTGTCCTTGGTTCTGGAAGCACACCAAGTAGAATGATGTGAGATTTTTCTGGGCCTGGTCAAGAGCCCATGATTTGGTTTACACTTCAAAGACAAAGGTCAGGTCACTGACAACTAGAAAGAGCATTGCTCAGGGACCAGCACACACACGGGATCAGTGAGTGTTCCTATCTTAAGGCATTTCCTTTCTTTGATACAAGGAATCACCACATGAATTTACCAAGTCCCCCCCTTCCTTTGTTTATTGGTAATTATACCATTAACCCTGTTCTTATTATATAGATTTTTAAACTATATTTTAGAATTATTTTCCCACTTTTATTAGCATTAGTTGGTCGTACAAAATAATAGATTTCAGCATGATATTTCACACATGCATATAATATATATTTTAGAACTATTTTATCTTAATTGTTTCTTATTTACTTAAATGTTATTCATCTGTTGATTCACTTATTTATTTTGGTGTTTCACATTGCGTCTTTCACGCAGCCTAAACTGGCCTGCTTCTGACACTCTTGCTTTTACATCTCCCTTCCAAGCCCTAAGCTTACAAGTATATACCGCCATACCCAGCAAGCCACCTATTCCTGAAGTTGGAAGTAAGAAAAATGTGAAAGTCTGGAGGCTTCTTTTGGTACATCACATGCCCATCTTCTGGTACTGCTTTGCCAGTCCAGGTGGTAGACTGTTGCCATCTGAAATTTGTCATGGTATCCCAAGATGGGATATGCCATCAACTAGGTCCACATAGAGCTTCAACTCTGGGCCTGGGAGTCAGAGAAGGGAATCTTAGTCAGAATAAGCTATAAAGCTCCCAGTGAATAAGCTGCTCCAAGAGAAAAGTGAAAAGTTGGCACAAAATCCCAGTACTTGGAAGGTTAAGGCAGGAGGATGACAACTTCCATGTCAGTTGGGGTTACACAGAAAGAAACAACATCAGACATGAACTTAAAAGGATGGCTATTATAAAGGCCATAGAATAGGCTAAAAGACTATGGAGACACGGGTGAAACAGAGGCTGGGGAAACAGATCACTGGAAGAACATTTGTCTACCCTATGCTGGGCTTGATCCCCACATCTACAAAAGTAGAAAGAGCAGGCTGCAGTCACAGACATTTGAAACCAAAAGACAATAGTAAGAAGGAAGACGATTAACTTAGACGACTATGTGATAACACATAGTCGGAATCCTAGAGGAGAAATAAATTATTAAACTGAAAACAGAGGGAAGGAAATTTCTACAGACCAGAGACTGAGCTAGCATGTGCTGGCCCAGAAGCTCAAAATTCTGATTTTATTAGGATGACCAACCTGTTTCCTTCCTTCTTTTCCATCTTTATCCAGGATACTTTCTCATGTTTCTCCTTGGTCTAGGTGATTTTCAACATTCCAAATGCAACAACTGCATTTGAGGTTTTAGTTGTTGTGTAAGATCCTTGTTTATTCTTCAACAATGCTTTTAACTTTAAACCAAGAATGATATTAACATCACTCTTGCTTTTTTCATGTGCATTTCCTTGATGTTTTGGCTAATCTTTTACTATTGCTGTTGTTATTATTAGTTGTATTTTTACTACTTGAAGATAGGGTCTTGGTATGTAACCAAGGCTAGCCTTGTTAGTATCCCTGGTACTAGGATTATAGATGCACACGTCCATGCCTGGCTTATCCTTTTTTGTTTTTAAATCTATTTTCATCAGTTTACTCTAAGTTGTTTGTAGCTTGGTGTTGCGGGATATATTTAATAACGGCAGCATCCGATCTGACTTGTAGTTACGGAGCCACCATGTTCCTGACTAGGCTAGGCCTGAGGTCACGAGCAGTGGCATGTTCTCACCACTGCCATGGCTCAGGCCGCCAGCTCAAGCGGCCAGAGACACCAGCCCTGCCACCCACGAGATGCCAGCTAATGGCTCTGCCAATCTTCCACTCTGTCTCCACAAGACATGGCATTGCCCAGACCATCCTGCCATCTATGCAGGCTCGGTCTATGAGATTCTAATGTTTAGATTATCCGAAGGCTTTATATATGCTCAATAACAAGATGCCCACACAATCAGAGGTGTAACCCAATACCCAACCTAGATATACCAGCTACCTTTGACTACTAGAGACAGGCGCACATCTGCTTCTATGTTCCCCTCTCTCTGGTGCTCTCTCCTGTTCCTCCTCCTCTTTCTTCTCCTCTTCCTCTCCTTACTCCTCTCACCTTAGCTCCTTGCAACTTGTGGGAAAAATGTCGCGCTACAATTTGGTTTTGTCTTTTAACTAGTTTGGCTGTTTGTGACTATTAATGGAGAAAAAACATCAGTCCATTGTCTTTATTTGATTGTAGTTTTTGACAGGCTGCCTTGAACTCCTGTGGTAGGTAACAAGTCCCCTCTCAGAACAAGATTGCTAAGAGGAAGGTTTGTGAACATCAGTCCCAAAACTCCAGGGAAAGTCAGCCCAACATGACAGTGAAAATTATAAAGCAAAATGTATCAGAAATGGAAGGAGAACTTCCAGGCCTGTAATCCCAATGTCTGAGCTACAAAGGGAGCGAGAGATCAAGGATCTCACATCTGAAGCCAGCCGAGATCAGAAAAAGGCTGAAATAGAGTTCTTCCAGTATTGAGTCCATCCAGTAGACAGATCAGTACTAACTACATTCAGTAGGTACATGGAGACTCTGAAGTCCCTTCTAGTAAATAACGCTCATGACACATATTCAAAATGAATCATGCATTTGGCTGAAAGGGAAAGTTCCACATACTGAAGCTGGAAGGAAGAATGCATGTTTTTTTTTCCAGTTTGTCTACTTTAACCATACATAGAAAATAAAGGAGTACAATGTAAGTTTAACACTTGGAAATTTATTATATAAATTTATTATATAAAGGTAACATTGCATCCTAGACAACAACCTGGAGTAGAACAAAATAAACTACACTCAAAGTGAACTCATGGCTTTAAATAAACTAGAAAGAATTAATCGCAATAAAAGATGAAAATTAGTACATTAAAAATAAAAAGCCAAAACAAAGCAGAAAGGAAAAATTAATTTAGAGACCGTTTTTCTTTTTTGAGACCAATAAAGCAGATAAACTCCCTATGAACCCAATTAAAGAGAAAATGCACACAAGCGAGGCACATTTAAAAAAAAATAAACAGGATTCAAAATGAAGAAACAGGCTCAGAGATCCAGAAGAGTTCCCCAAAGTTACAAGGTATGTAGACTTCCAGTTCAATGGCTGCAAATTTGAAAACACAGAGGAAGTGAACAATTTCCTAACAAAATATAAATTACTTAAATTGCCAATCACCAAAGACATCTGCATGATGATTAAGAATGATTCTTGGAAAAAGGAACAAAGACCAGATGGGTTTAATCTTTAAAGAACAGATGATTCCAGTGTGATTTAAATATTTCCAGGCCATGGGGGAAAATATCTCCTCAAGTCATTGTGGGAAGACAGATTAATTTTGATTCCAGAGTGTGATGTGGACATAAAAGAATATGCAAGATCCATCTCACTTAAGAATACAGATATAAAACTTTTAATTAAAATGTTCAAAAATAACATGTCACTATCTTTGACTCATATCAGACTCATGGCCCTAGGCGAACTGAGGGTTTCTTTCAGAAACACCAGGTACTTTTACTTTTGGCCAAGGATTGGTGTAGGGAGGGAAGCTGACTGTGAATAATAAAGTCACAAGAGTAGCTGTAAGCACCCTGTCTCATCAAAGCATGGACCTGCTCATAGACCAAGTGTCCTCCTTGGGAGCTCAGCTATGAGCCATAGCATCTTCTGACAATTGGGCAGCTGGGGAAATAATACTACTGATGCCGAAATCTGAGACGGTACCACAGCATCTATCATGCTCCAGTGACTAGAGTTTCCGAGGGATACAGCAGGAATGAGAATTTATTCTTGATTGCAAGTGTGCTTTGCCACCAGAAGAAGTCTATCATTATAATTCTATGCATCAATAAACTTGGAAAAA